CCCCCCCCCCCCCCCCCCCCCCTAGCTTTCAAATTTTCCTTATATATATAAAAAAGAGTACCCTGAAATGCCAGCTTAATAGGGTCGAGACCCCCAAGGAGGGCTGGCACCTGTTTGAGAAGTCAAATTTAATTAAATTATGAACATAATATATGATTATTTAACTATGGGTGTCAAAACAAAGAGTATGAAAAATCTTCAGTTTGAACATTTGGAATATTTTTGAGTTGTTTGAAAAGGTTACCACCTGTTTGAAAAGTTAAATCAAAATTATTTTATAAGCTAAGTAATAGACGTTTTTTGAAACGGCTTGATTTCTAAACCACATGTAGGAGGTTTCCACCTGTTCAAAAATACTAATTCAACTCATACCACAATTGTATGGATGTCAGACGAAAGAGGTTTGAGTAGGTTGCGGCTTCAAAATATTTTCAAGAATGTTGCCACTTTGTTTGAAAATTCGATTTTAAATAAATTAAACAAAATTGATATGAAATATTGAAATACTAGTTTCGTGGTTAAACAATTAGCCAACAATATTATTCAAGCAACGATACTTAAGTGCAAATTTAAGAATGAGGAGGCGCTTTGAGTTCAAACATATTCAGTTCTAAGTTCGTCTTGCATACGACATGACGATAATTAAAACGCAAGGCCAGTCTTTGGACGTATATGAAACTGATCTCGAATATGTGTGGCACAGGGACGGAAGATAACAGTTATTGATGAAAATTGTCATGGAAAAATTCACTATGAAGGAAATGTTCTACAACTAAGTGGTACATACCAATCGATTTCTTTTTTCACCGAGACTCAAATTTGAGAATAAATTATGCAGCCTCTTTACATTTAGTGCGAATAAAAGAAATTTCATACAACAGAATTTAAAAACTGTTAGCAGTTAAAAATACTGTTAGCACCAAACGCCTAAATGCATGCTATGCACTGTTGCATGTGCAAAAATTTTCTCTATGGAATTCCTTATGAAATTTTTGCACTTGCACTTCTCACCATAAAAAAAAAATCTTTCTTAAGTAAGTTGATGGAATTTCAGAGCATGCTGAGCCTAGACTGACGGAATCTCCGCAAAATGCTTTCGGAGTTTCATGCGAACTGGCATTTAAACATCATTCCCTCCGCTCTCATTGAGATATTCAAAGTGTTTCATTCGTTTTAAATAATACTAGATCATGGCAAGCTTCACCGGGTCTGCTACATCTGTATATATAAAAATGCCTTTATTTTTTTTTGTATATTTAGACACCTCATCAAACTTTCTGTATCTTTACGCGAAACGCAAGGATTCATTGCCTTGCGTCACCAAATTTCTTTCTGTTGCTTTAATGTACCCATATCAATGCCAAGCAACTGCGCAGAAGGCAGCAATAACCAACTCCTTTTTTGCTTTACGCAAACCCTTTGTAATATCAGCCATTGCAACCGCAAATTTCCCCAGTGGCATTGGTACAAATCGCACTCTGCAGCTACTGGA